GAGTTTGAATTTCCATGGTAAATAGTTGAAGAAAACGTGTGTTGAAGTTTAAGGAGGTAGTGCCAAGGAAAAGTGATCGACTCGCTGATATGATCGACTCGCTGATAAACCACGTTAAGCGTAAAGTTAGGTAAGTTTTAAATACGAATTAGACAAGATATAGTAAGTTAGAGCTTAAAGTAAGGCTACTTAAAGTAAAGCTTTAAAAAGGTAGAGTAAGTAAGGGTAATAGGTAAAGATGTAACGAATACTCAAACTGGCTAACTAAACTTGGCTGGGTGTTCGCTGGTTGGTATGCTATGATAAGAAGAAGACTATCGGGCTGTTCACTTGGAAGTGAACTCGTTACTTGTATCAAAGATGTCAAACTAATATGATAAGATTGATAACTAAGTTGAGCACGAAGCTCCTATCTAATGGCAGACGTGCCAGTCTTATATAGAACCTTCGTGTTCCTGAAGTCGACAATGTCGACCTGCATATATCACGTGACTTACATACAAAGAAATCCCTGGATCGCTTAACTAACCTAAGCGATCCCTTTTTGCTATAAGAGCCATGATGTGTTTGTCCTGTCAGAACCTCGTCTGGACTAACTCCTCACGTGCTAGCACGTGATTTGTGACAAAAGAATCCTTAATTAAGTTAAGGTATAGAGAAAAGTCCTTAGTTATATAAGAAGACTATTTACTAATAATTAAGACTTGTTTACTTTTAGTATTCCTATATGATTAAGGAACGTTCCTAATAATTAGGAATATTATTTGTAAATAATACTATTATTATACTTTTCTTATCTAGGAACGTTCCTATAGACTAGAAATGGAAATATAATAATTTATAGTATATTCTTTAGTATAACTTATAGCTAGGCCGAGACTTATTCCTAATCTATAGGAACGTTCTGTCACGAATTACGTGTTCACGTGATACTTGTCATAATAAGAGGCGCAACCCTCGACAGGCACATTCAGATTTCTTATAGCAAATGGGGATCGCTTAGGGTAGCTAGGCGATCCAAGGATTTCTTCCTTACAGAAGATCATGTGACTAGGGAGTATGAGGAAGTATAAGGGAGGCTTATACTACTCTATACTAGGACCATACGCGGGGTATGAAGGTTCTATATAAGACTGGCACGTCTGCCATTAGATAGGAGCTTCGTGCTCAACTTAGTTATCAATCTTATCATATTAGTTTGACATCTTTGATACAAGTAACGAGTTCACTTCCAAGTGAACAACCCGATAGTATTCTTCTTATCATAGCATACCAACCAGCGAACACCCAGCCAAGTTTAGTTAGCCAGTTTGAGTATTCGTTACACGTTCCTAGTTAAGACAAGTAAGGAGGGGCTCTCGCTTAGCGTGCACGCGGTACCCCGGGCCCTCGGTCCGCCGGTCCGATATATAGGCCCGAATTAATCAATTTAATTAGATTAAGTTAGTAGTAATTTTTAGTGTTCTTGATTACGTAATTTAGAAGTTGTGCTGTCCCACGAATTCTGTCACCCACTGGTGAAGGTCCCACCCATTCCGATGTCGTACGACTCAGCGCCACAATTTCTTTTGGTTTTCTACTGTAATCTTACAAGCCTCAACACCACACCCTGCCAAAAGCATCTAAACCATCAAACCTGCCAAAAATACAGCAAACACACCTACACCCAAAAATTCAGCTCCAACCCCTCTCTCCGCTCCACTTGCAGCTGGACTTGAACTCGAGGCAGGAGCCGGCGAGCCACCACTGGAGCTGGTTGGAGAAGGCGCCGATGATGTGGATGCAGAAGTCGAGTTCACAGCCGCAGCAGGTCCTACGATCCCACCTTGGACTTTGGTAGACGGAATCGTACTTTTGCCAACTGAATTCGACGTGTATACTTCCATGCCTTTCGAGGCTTCGGCTCTGTGGTATCGTTAGCGGATGGCCCAAGATCGAAACGAATATCCAAAACGCAAGCTTACGGCGGATTAACAATTCCAACCATTCCCTTGCCGCAATGGCTTGGGAAAGCACAATAATAGTAGATCGGCTTATCATCCTTGACTGTGATACTAAATGTGGTCGCATTGCCCTTCGGATCTTTCGTCGCGAATGGTCCGGACCAGAAAGAGCTGTTAGAAAGCGGTTTGCACGGCTCTTCGAAAGTTCCCTGAGCTACACTGTGTGTCATGGGGTAGAAGTGGAATTCAATAATTTCCCCAGCCGGGACTGACACGACGGAAGGCGAGAATGTTAGGGATGCATTCTCGTCGCCAACTTTGATTATGGTGGGTGAGGCGAGAATGAGAGGCAATGCGAGGAAAGCTGACAATAGGGAGAGATACATGGCGATTTCGATAGAAAGGCTTCTGATAGTAAATTTCTGAATGAACAAGTAGATTTATGAGAAAACTGAGTGCATGTGGGGAGGGATTCGTTGTTGGTTTTGTATATAAAGAATCCCAACACAACGAACTTCCACTTCAATTGGGCAGACGCTCTCGTACCTCTCTACATAGTTCCGTACGTGTGCATCTTATCGCCCTACCTATGGCCAAATACAGTCATCGTAAATACACCAGCACATATGAAAGGGTTATCAGCGTCGATCGAGTATCAGGAGTCTGGAACCCAACAATACCTGTTTTTGTTTTTCTAAATATGAAATAAGCTAAAATTGGGAAGGAGAAGAGCGGATCAACTAACTGAAAGCCTGATAGTGGGCGTAGAAATAAATGTGAACGACAAAACATGATGTAATTGTACAGCGAGCTGCTTGAACTTCGCCTTCTGCTTCCTCTTCAGCAGCAAAGGAACCCCTAAAAGAAGTTGAGATCTGTTTCTGGGATTGTGTAGAAAGACAAGCTAGATCCAATTAGAAGGTGTGAAATAAGCTGGAAAATAGAAGTTTGCCAGCCAAAGCGATTACCTCATAGGGGAAAATCCCTCCACAAATGGGAGTTGTCTGGACCACCGTGATTTACAATTGTCTTCCCTTGTCCGAAGCACAGCACAGCATCAACGGCCGAGATTGTCGTTGTCTGGGTGTGCGCATAACCCAAATTGGGAAGGTGGCTATTTACACCCAATACAGCAGTTGGAATTAATCACGTGGAAACAGCACACCTCTACTTCCCAAAAGAGTCATCTAAAGCAAAAATAGCACGGCACTGTAAATCTCCGGGAGAATCAACGGTGTGTCGTGGTAGCATATTTAATCATCTTGAAAGTCAGGGCAGATAATTCCAGACACATGTTCATTTCCTGCTGATTATCTGACAGACCCATTAGCTGACATTCATGTCTCGGCTCTCAAGCGACAACACACCATCAAAGATGATCTCTATCATGGTGCTAGCCGTGTCAGTAAACATAAATGAAATTCTCGTTCTGTATATCCGTCAAGTCATCAAATGCCTTGGCTCCTTCCGTGCCAACATCATCAGTATCACCTCCATCTGCGGCTCTTTCTTGAACATTCATCATGGATCTATCAAGAACCACTGCGGATTTACCGACTGCTACTCTGCGCTCTGCGTGCTTCTTATTGAGAAAAATGAGGTAGAGGTTTGTAAGACTGATAGGGGGTTGCTTGGTTAGTTCGTGATGAAAAGAGGAGAAAAGTCAGCAAGACGTACACGATGAGGATGATTAGAATGATAAATAGAGCCAGGCTATTGAAAGTTAAAAATATGTTGGGCTTGAGGGTAAAGAGACGTACTTTGAGGTAAGCCCGCGTTTGTAAGCGGGTGCCTCCCCTGGGGTGTAGAGGTGTGGGCCAATAATCCGTTTCTAGAGTTAGGGGAATCGCAGATAAGATTCTGTAGGGATGCTTACATTCCCGGCACTTTGACCAATAAAAATAAGGGCAGTGGTTACCTTCTTTTTTGTTTCTCCGGCAGTGTTTTGGGTTGACCATGAATAGATGAGAAGTGCTAAAGGAGTCAGTTTCAGGGACTTTAATCCATTTGACTACTAAACCTTACATATTCCAGGATATACCGAGATCTATGAATAGTTAGAAAAAGACCACAATGTCAGTAATGGGATGCTACTGACCAGATAATATCCAACCAGAAGTGGTCCTTTATGAGCCGGTTCATGTGGAATACACAATAGAACCACACAGCCAACGATGGGTGGGATACATAAAGCAATCAAAGCGAGTGCTTTTCTCTTCGTGTAAGTTGCAAATGCTGCTCCACCCATTGTTGCAATTATTTGCACTGCACCAAATGGTATGTTTAAAAGAATTGTCTTGAAGGAGTCGAATCCAAAAGACTTGATGATCAAAGGCCCGAAGGTCGTGATGCCTCCACTTGGAATTCTGAGCGTGTTAGCAACGATATTGTGAGAGTGGGGGTTGAGAAGTTCCTACGAGATAGAAAATATCAAAGCAAACCAGAACCAACTCTTCGAATCCATCAGACTTTCAACAACATGCTTCCATTTCCATTCAGTTGACACTACGCCCATTTGATTGTCTCGAAGACGCTCTATTGCCAACAACCTGTCATCTTCGCTAAGAAATCTGGCAGTGATAGGATCGTCTGGCAGGTAGAGGCTGTTACGTGTCAATTTAATGGGATTGGAGAACCGATAGAAGACAGAAAGGAGGTATTGTGGGCAATTACTCACTATACCACAATTGAAAAGACTACGGTAAGCAGTCCACATGCTAGGAATATGATCTTTCAAGCATAATAGCAGGTACATACTCAGATTCTTTGAGCATAGGAATAACGTGCTTGATATGAATACATAGTATCGGAATGAATGTGACCAAGACCCCATGCGAGGAGACTGCCAACCTTTGAACCGTGTTAGTTGATATTTAAAGGTAACGAATCTCAATTTCATACCATATTCGTGACACCATTCATCTACAGTATCTCGGAGTCAGCCTCATCTTTTAAAGATTACTCGAAAGGCTTCAAGCGTGGCTCGAAAATAAGGCCAGCCTTATCTCTAAAACGCCTACAACAGGGAAAGTTTCCCCAAGATCTTACTTACAGCATACCAAGCAGCATTTCGGTTCGTCTGCTCACTACGTCTCCACCACATTGCAGTGATAGCAAGGAAAGTTGGCCCTATTGAAGATAATTAGACTTGACATAGCTGACAGGCATTCACTTACCAACCGCCGCCTCAAAGCTGCCCAAAAACAAACGAGTCACAAGTAATCCTTTGAAGTCTTTGGCAACAGCCATACAGCCAAGCACTATGCCCCAACATAAAACCATCGTAGCTCCAAACTTTCCGGTTGGTAACTTGACCAAGAAGAACGCTATTATAGGTTGCATGACGAGTTGTGCGACATAAACAATGGACCCAAGCTGTTTTGTGCAAATTAGGAAAGCGTTAAAGTAGAATAATCTGGACTGCGATTGCGATTGCGTACCCATGAGAAATCTTCTCCCTTGAGCTTATCATCTTCTACCATTCCAAAAACACTGGCGTAAGATAATGTTGACTTGTCCAGCTGTTGTAGGAAGTAGACGGCAAGCATAGTTGGTAAGATTGTGAGATCGATTTTGCGCAAGATTCGTTTATTCTCCTCTGGGGAGACAACCACACTTTGATTTGCATTCTGGAGGTATTCAGCAGCTCTATCCTTGTGTTTGATATCCTCTTGTGGGTGCTTGGATATTACTACATCTTCCACAGCTTCAACTTCACGTCCTTTTATGTCCATGTTGCTTGCTGGTTCCCACGGATTCAAGATACACGACCCCTGGCTCTCAAAAGCCTGGATAGACCGAAAAGCAGTGTTCTCTGTAACTTCACTCAAATGAGAGAAACCAGTTAGTAAGAGCAGGAATTTTGTAGGAAGAAATCGTGAGAAGAGGGATGAGAAGAGGGGAAGTGTCCAGCAAACATAACGAATGAAGAGGCTCTTATCTTTCCACAGATACAAGTCACAAGGGCTATTATTACTTGTGATTGGAGCTTACGTCCCAAGAGAACGGTGAATTATGGTTGGGTCATCGTCGGCGAAAGGACCAAATCTGGGGTATCTCCCCATGGGGTCCGGGGTTGATGCCCCGCACTTGAGCTCTCCACGCCCGTCCAGTCCAACAAAGCACAACGTGACGAGGTACCCAAGCCTCATCATTCCAATCCCATACAATAATGCGGCGACATCGATTTGTCATAGATCGCACGTGGCTGTTTGCACACTGTTCTTCCGACACAGAAAACCCAAGCAAGATAAACACTGGCAATATTTCAAAACTCTTCCCACGACTTTATCAATCGGTTTCTAGATCTTGCTCTCCATTAGGTCTGATATTGGTCAGTAAGCACCCAGAAATATCGCCAATGTGAGTCTCAGGAAATCAACTGAGTATGCGGGTTAAGTCGCTTTCCCCTTCTCCACGAGGTGAATTGCTGTATAGCCAGTCGGAAGTGCCTAGGGTTTATCGAGGCGGCGTAGTACTACTAGAACCACTTTGGGTCTTTTGGGAAGTTCGATCCTCTGGATACTGGAAGCGGACGGAATATCAGAGCTGGTCATACTCTAGCTATGGACCGAAAAGTAGGAATAAATTATCTAATTGATATCTTGCAACGGTTCACATTTCTTTTTGATTGTTATGCCTGTTCTGAGTAGTCAGAATAATTAATCGATCGTTCACGATAACGCCAGAAATGTCCCAGAATTCAAATAGAAAGAAGAAGCAATCAGAGGGTTACTCACTACGATTCTTTTGGTCCAACTTTATGCTATCGTGCCTTCTTGCGGTAGGTAGGCATTGAACAGATCTCTGTAGTTTGGAAAAAAATCAGTAACCGAGAACACGATTCTGTGGAGTAGTTGATCCATACTTCCTACGTCCCAGAAAGCTTGAATAAAATTTTAGTGGAACAAAAGAATGGTAGCCTATCAAATATAGGAAGAATAATCTCAAATATGGTATTTCTTTCGTCGGGTATAAGACTATATCGTAACTATGCAACCCTGCTGCGTGGTACAAAGAAATCGATGCAAACACACCTATTAAACGATTCGGCTCTTTATCGAAAGTTTCCGTGGAGAGTACCGACTAACGGATAAAGATACCCGCTGGATGGTCAGGGTACTTCAAGATGATGCATCGTATATGTCCTAGTAGAATTTTGATGTTTGCTATCCTATGAATATTGGAATTTTGACCCCTTTTCCAAGCTTGTCCCGCCGTGAACCGAGACTTGGCGTTCTCGGCGGAGCTTATCTCCCCAGATTTCATCACGCCACTCCACTTTCACAACCCCCCCATTCTACTAGATTTATACAGTATTGTATGAAATCAACCTTTTCCATTACGCATGATAATACGAGTCATTCTATGGATGTGTATCATGGTGACTCCCTCCACTCTACCTATGAGCGGGGAAAACGAACGAGGACTGTTGTCGCCAGCTGGCACTACCGTACTGCTGAACGAATGCATTACTCCCACGATGCTGCAGTATCTTCCACTCTCGCTTTACCTTTCCCTTGTTTCGCTTCCTTTCTACATTCACTCCGGTTCTCCTAGCGTAGGTAGCAAAGTCTGTTGACTTTGAATTTCCTTCATACAAGTATCTTATAGTTTCTCCATACACTCCATTCTACAATTACGTCCTCTCTGAAACCCTGTCACATCGAAATCATGCCTCAAAGCGAGTTTCTCCCCCGGCAGTATGCCCTCGCAGATTCGAAGTTGAAGACTACCAATGTCACCCTCCAGTCCACAGACTCCGACTTTCAATTTACTTTCGAAGCTCTTCAGCCAGGTCTCTTTCGAACTACCTTCTTTTCTCCCACACATCCACTGCCACCTCATCCCTCCACAGGACCACGTGCGACCGCCTTTCTGACCGGAAAGTTCTTTGGAAATGAACCAACCTTAACATCCACCGAACTACAGAAGAACATCGTTGTTGGAAATGTCACAGCTTCAGTCACTTGGACTGACTGTCCCATGGTCTCCATACAAATCGCCGGACAGGAGAAGCCCATTCACAAAGATCTTCAATTCCGTTCATATGTCGCAGATTCTACTGGAGTAGCACATTACACCCATTATAAAAGAGATACTCTGCACGTGGGTCTCGGCGAGAAATGTGCACCTATGGATCTATCGAACCGGCATTTCACATTGTCGGCTACAGATTCTTTCGGGTACGACATATATCGTACGGATCCACTTTACAAGCATATTCCGCTATTGATTAATGCCACGCCGGAGGGTGTTGTGGGTATTTTCTCGAGCTCCCATAGTCGTGGCACTTACGATATTGGATCGGAAATTGATGGGTTGTGGGGACATTTCAAGGTGTATCGACAAGATTATGGTGGTTTGGAAGAGTACTTGCTGATTGGAGATACGATTCAAGATGTAGTACGGATGTATGCCAATTTGGTTGGCCACCCGCTCCTGGTACCACGTTGGGCCTTTGGGTACATAGCTGGAGGTTACAAATATGCCGCTATGGACGAGCCACGAGCTGCAGATGTCCTGTACGAGTTTGCGGAGAAATTGAAGAAACACGATATTCCTTGCAACGCCCTCCAACTTTCTTCTGGGTATTCCATCGCAGCTACTGAGCCAAAAGTACGCAATGTCTTCACATGGAACCGTCATAGGTTCCCTGACCCAGAGGAGTTTCTGGCAAAATATCATCACGAAGGCATCCGAATTATTGCAAACATCAAACCATATGTTCTTGCGGCACATCCTGACTATCAGAAGCTCGTGGATGGGAAGGCTTTGTTCACGAACCCACGAACAAAGCAGTCAGCTGTTGCACGTCTGTGGAGTGCTGGTGGAGGTGAAAGTGTAGAAGGTGGCCATATTGATTTCACTTCTGATTTGGGGTTCAAGTGGTGGTTCGAGGGAGTAAAGTACCTCCGAACTGCAGGAGTGGAAGGAATTTGGAATGACAACAATGAGTACACCATCACCGATGACCTGTGGCAATGTTCTCTACAGCATGACAAAGACACCCCAATCGAAGGTGTAGGAGATCACATTGGAATTTGGGGAAGGGCACTCCACACTGAACTCATGGGTCAATCTTCACATGACGCTCTCCTGGATCTGGAACCAAATGTTCGTCCTTTTGTTCTCACTCGCTCGGCTACAGCTGGGACTATGCGTTACGCTGCGAGCTCGTGGGGTGGCGATAATGTTACGACTTGGGATAGTATGAAAGGCTCCAATTCGTTATCTTTGAACGCAGGTATGAGCTTAATACATGTAAGTTTTCCTTGTTGCATCACCCTGCTCATTCAGGAAATAGCAATCTAACAAAATCTAGTGCTATGGCCACGATATCGGCGGTTTTGAAGATCCACAACCGGTCCCTGAACTGCTCCTCAGATGGATTCAACTTGGCTGCCACAGCCCCCGCTTTGCAATCAACTGTTTCAAGACTGACGAGAATGATAACACCATCGGTGGCGTCATCGAGCCCTGGATGTACCCCGAGATCACACCTTTAATCCGTGCTGCAATCAAGAGGCGGTATGAGATGATTCCTTACCTATATACCCTTATGCTGCAATCACATCTTAAAGCTGTCCCACCACAGCGCTGGATAGTTTCTGGATATGAATCCGACCCCGAAGTGTGGTGTGAAGCATTGAAAGCTGGAGAAAAGCAGTATTGGCTAGGAGGTTCATTATTGGTTGGTGGCGTTTATGAACCAGGTATCTAGTCTGCGAAAGTTTACCTTCCAACAAAAGGGAATGGGGACGAGGGTTATATGAATCTGAATAAGCCATTTGGGTACCACGCCGCTGGACAATGGCTTACCATCTCGTCCGAGTGGAAAGAAAGTATTCCTATTCTTGCACGTATCGGATCTGGGATACCTGTTGGCAAAAGTGTGCAAACCCGTTCTCCAGGCGATGAAAGATTTCCTTCACCCAACGCAGTCGAAGATGATTGGAGGGCTGTGGAAATCTTCCCTCCCAGAGGAAGGTCTACTAAGGAGTATGAGTATGTCTGGTTCGAGGATGATGGCATTTCCCAAAAGCCAGAAATTTCAAAGTTCATACTCAGGTAATCTTCGACGGATGACGTGGTTACTGTCTCATTTGAGAAAGATGGAAAGTACGAGGCTGTTTGGAAAAATTTGAGGGTTATTCTACCGGTCAGAGATCAGAGAGAGGTTTTCTTGGCAGGAGGAAATGAAATAGCGAAGAGGGAGGAGGAGAGCAGAGGAAGAGCTGTTTGGTTTCTTTCTTAATTATGATACCGCTCAATGGGTTCCGACAGTAAGAAGTGACAGTTTACGGGTTAGTGTCATATATCGCACTCCAATACTGACCTAGTCAAAAAATAAAGGCTCACTGAGATTAGGGTACTTGGTCACAGCTCAATTCTATAGTAATTCAGTAGCTCGATAACCAGCTTAAAGCAAAGGATATTCGTTATCTGACTAAATCACTATCCTCGATAATGAGTAGCTCATCCTCATCTTCATTGTCATATGTCTCACGACTTAGAAGCTTGCCTCTTTCCCCACTCGCTAGTTCTCGCACAAGTCCATCCGTTGTAAAAAGCACTTTGACAACTTTGTCTTTCCCGGAAGCTTCCTTGACTGCTGTCAACAAAATATTGACCAGGCTTCGAACACTTTTTGGGACGAGTGGGCTATGCTCCCGTCCATCAAAAAGCTGAAGCCCATCGATAATAAAAAACTGGAGTGCGGGCCCAACAGCGAGAAGGTCAGCGAAAAGCTCGATGGCGGCTGGCAAGGTTTATATGTTGAGATCCTAGTTCAAGGTCTGAAATCGTGGCGATGTGAAATCGATGTCAATGAGCTCCTGCTCAAGCTTCTCCAACGTAGTTGCAGCTTGGTAAATCAGTCCGTATATCACTTTGAGTAGCTCTTTCTCTCGGTCCCATGGTCTTTTGTACTGACAAAACTCTACGATTACTGGAATGCCGACGCGTCGCAAATTGCCTAGCATAAAGGCAGATGTAAGGGTGCTTTTAGTGGGGTAAGAAAGGCCATATGGCCCTTCAATCCATAGTGCTTCTGAGTCTGGATTCGTGACCCATTTGTGTAGTCGTATCGAGATTTCTGTGTTTACAGCGATGGATCGGCTGAGCTCTACCAATCTATTGACATCTTGCGGGGTCTGCAAGTACTGCTTCAGAGGTTCCACATCGGCCAAAATACTTTCTTGTGACCAAGAAGGACCAGGGTTTGCGAAGGTCTCCGTAATCGAGCCCATCATTACCCCCGGGCGCGGTGGAGGTCCCATACTTCCGTCATTAGTTGTGTCTTTCAGGAAATCCCTTACAACATTGGGTGGCAGCTGTTGCTGCACTAACGCAGACAAGAACGCATTTTCCATTGCCATCCTTTCTTGCGTCTTTCTCATCCTCGCCTGCTCCATGAGGCTCGCTTCCATGATTGCGCCAAGAGCTTCTAGCTTCCGTAGACTGTTCTCACTCTTTCTCCTCGTATCCTCTTCTTTGATCTTTCTTGTATATCCACCTAATTTCTTCAAAGTGTCCTGAACGTTCTTGAGAAAGCTGTCGCCATATGATTTTGCGATGCGCCGCCAAGACGATGAATACCATTGTTGCATCACGATGACCAAAAATCCGAACAGGTCGTAGTAGAAGAGAGTGATGTGGTATTTGATGTACATGGAGTTTGGATGATCTTTGACCACGAAGTATAATGCTCGGACATGATCCGAAATCTAGTCAAAGCCATCAGACATCTCGGTCGCTATTTTCTCGTGGGTTACTGTAGCCTGGATTTCGATGTTAGCTAGTCAATACAAATGATCTTGGAGATAACAGCGCCATCTGGCGGGAGCCGTAAGGTGCGCGGTTTAGAGTATAAAACAAATAAATCTCTAACCTTTACAATAGCGGTGAGTGAACCTGTAAATATTGAGGTATACTTATCACCGGTAGGCAGAAGATCAAAGAGGTGGTGATACTTATCAAGGCATGAGACACTCCTATTCAAGAATGTCTTGGTTTTGCCTAGGTTTGATTCTTTCTTTTGTTGTAATTGACTTTCGGCTTCCTTGATAGCATCTCGTAGTACACTCATGTCTGGTTCCGAAGTTGTCTTGATTTTATCCACCTCTGAGAGCTTGAGTTTTGATTGGAACTTATGCCAGTGTAGTTTGACTTCTTCACTTTTTGACTCTAGCTCGCTTAACTTGGTGTTATATATAGATTCGTAGCTTTTGAATGTCAGAAAAAGATCTGTATTTATGGATAGTTTATTTCCAGAAAAACAAGGGTGGCGAGATAGTTTAAGAGGGGTCTTTCTGCCTCTTTGCAACAATGCAGGCCGATATGCTGATAATAAATGAATGAAAAATATGAAACCCGTCTATGAGGAGCCACTACAACGCCAATGAACAATTCCTATCTGGCATGAAACAACGGCTCAAAATGACGGCTCAAAATATGATATGGGAAAAGCTCACAATTTGGGATCTGTGCCATCTTCCCCAAACATCCCCTTCATAGCCTCATCAATATAGTATTTCCCCTTATGTTGACGCTCTGCCTCTGAATTTACTTTCACAGCCAATTCCTGCGACAAAGGCTCGTTTGGTAGCTCATCTCTGATGCGCTCACTATATCTCCTCACAAGGAAGAAATTCTCAGCATTTTCCTCGCGAGAGGTAGTTTCCGCCATCTCTGGTAGAATTTGAGTATCAAAATCGATAATCAGAGACAATAAGGGCGATGAATATGATAGTGGTAGTAAAATTGGGATATGAGGATCCTTTGAATTTTGAAGGAGAAATTACTGTAATTTTTGCCTCCTCTCGATCATGCTACACGGGCGCGGTGGTGTGCCACGTAAGTTGCTGCCAAATGGCCCCCAACTCGTCCGTTTCCTTATCGGGAATCAGCCCCGATGCTACATAATCATGGGATCCGCAAAAGCCATTCCTTAGTCGGGAAACAAGGTAACATTACAGGGGTAAGATTAGTATGGATCCTAGTGATCGGAAGGATTTTGGGGGCTAGCTCGGATAACATTTTGACACTCGTGGCGGCGCAGAGCTGATGCTTATTAACAATCCAAAAAACCTTGAGCTTTTTTCAATTTCATTCTGCGATATTTTGCACTGTTCAGCAACGTTCTTCAGATAAAACCAGATTTGTGCCAACGATAGCTACCAGTTTATGGATCAAGTTATGGCGGAAAGAATCAGCGCATTTCGCATGGAAGTCTCCGACCTTGGTCCAATACTCACTCCTCAGAAGGTACGAAGCAACGCAGACTTACCCAAATCATTTAAGCAGCAAGATTCCTATAATTCCGTTATATCCAGTGAAACTTTGCCCAGCGCAATGGACACCCCAGCTTCTTCAATGTCTGGTGCGGAAACGCCAGTGGTCGAGAAAGTAGCAGAGGCTCAAATAGCACCGAAAAGTGTGAATGTTAAATATTCACTCGAAGTTTTTGACGATTCGAAAACGTAAGTAATTCTTTATTTTTGTTACAACTCTATTTGAGGTCAATGTTCGGATGAAAAACACGCAAATGTGCGAGTTCTTTCATGCGTGGCTCTTTGGGTTGTTTCTACGACGAAAGCTAACTTCGAACTTCAGTGAATGGAGCCGAGTATCTCAGCATGACGAAGCCTTTGATTTGAGTCAAGTCACTCGAGGAGAGAAGAAGGAAAATAACCCCAAACAAATTTCTCCCATGGTATTTGAAATAATTACCCAAGCAAATGGCTATGATAAACGAACTCGGAAGTTTAATCCTGAAGGGGCTATAGAAAATGCCCCTGCTCCCCCATCAGCGGTGGAACCAGAACTACCACCTTTAAAACTCAATAACCTAATCGTCACCGATATCATTGAGACGAGAATGGAAATCCACTCAGATCACCTGATAGACGTGATCAGGGAGGTTGTCGACTATTATCCATCGTAAGAGTTCTCGCTTGCTTTCCCCCTTGATATTTTACACTACTCGCATACTGCATATGCTTTCCTGAAATTACTCTCATCAAGTTGAGAAAGTCAGTATTGGCTTTGAATCTACTGCAAGGTTTTCTCCGCTGGCCACGGACAAATAAAGACGGCTTGGCTGAATTTCCAAGCTTGAGCATGTCGAATACACTCTGACCTAAGCCACAGTCAAAACCTTGCTGGTGATATTGTTATTATACAAGAGCCTTACTGGGTACTGCTTCACCATGAGAAAGAACTACGAAAAGTCGAGACACGACTCTCATCAGTTCCCAATACCTCCGACGATGAAAAAGCCCAAGCAGAACACCTCCATATCTTGCTTGAATTCATCCGACCGCATCTTGAGCGCATCGTTCCCCCGATTGAGCGTGGTTTGCAAAAAAAGGTCCCTGCGGTGACTTTTGAAGCGTTGTGGTATCTACTCAAGCCTGGTACACTTGCTTACTGCCAATTTGACGGTCATTGGATTGGCTGCGTAATCATGCATTTGAAGAACAAATTCAAGCAGGGTGAAAAGAAAGTGGAGAGATTGAATGTTCGTGTTTGGTTTCTCGACTTTTTCCTCAACAAACTCAATCGCGCCTGGACGAGATCTGACCGAGACCCTTCACGGAAAACAAAACATGCAATCCAACAATTCGACGGCGAGGAGAACGTCACGAATTTGCAGATAATTCCTAGAGAGTACTGGGATGCCATCGACAAAGGGGCGAGGCGAGAGTCGTTTGAGGCTCGAGGATTGAAAAAGATTACACTGCTTCAAAGTGGACATCAGCAGATGGCACACGATGGCATGTCTTTAGAAAAGGAGAGGCGAGTTGTAGGTACCTTATTTATGCTTTCTCCCTCTTTCAAAATATTCACACACGCAAGCTGCCGTCATAAATGACTTCGAAGAAAGAGCCATCTTTCCTCCAGACTTCAAATGAAGATCAAGAAGAAGAAGCCCAAACCAAGTTCCCGGTGCTGACATAAATATAGTATGACGGCTCTGTCATTGTTGATGACCTTCAAAACATCCAAGTGTCATATACAATTGACCATGTCTGGACATTTCCTGCGAGTGGTGTAGCCGATCTATTGGACGACAAGTGGATACGCAAGGTGGAATCTGATTCAACTTCACTTATCTCCAAACTCGCGAAGTTGCTAGAGATGGAGAACGATGATCCAAAAAATCTCACGAAAGACCAATGCTTCTTGATGAGTCCAGATGTCCCTTGCTTTGCATTGGATAACAAATCGTGGAGTGAGTCTAGATTTTCGTCTGTCAGGTGGACAATCTCCCAATCTCAGTTTTGTTTTTAATTTCCGCTCAATTAAACTTGCTGTTCGAACTCCACTCGAATTAGATCTGCCTGATAAAATTTAGAGCTTATCACGCAAAATTCGAATAAAAATCCCTGCTCCATGTGTTCGCGAGGACTCGCATGAATGAGGCCAATATAGCTGACCCTCGCAGTGTCAACTCATATCGATTGTTTACATGAGATAGAGGAGAGTACAGCCCCAACTAAATTGGTCATGGAGGAAACACATCTCAAACTCATCAAATCCCTAGCTGATAGCCAAACAAGTTCAAAGTCGGCATGGGCTGCAGACTCCATCAAGAATAAGGGGAAAGGTGTGATTATTCTTCTCCATGGACCACCAGGCGTGGGCAAAACATACTCGGTAGAATGTACAGCGGTTGCTACAAAGCGACCTCTTCTTGCTCTGACCATTGCGGATATTGGTACCAAAGAGGACAGTATAGAAAGCGAGCTTACGTCCTGGTTTTATCTTGCGGAACGGTGGAAAGCAGTCCTGTTGATTGACGAAGCGGACATTTTCCTTGAACGACGGAAGCATACTGATCTTGCTCGAAATGGAATTGTCTCGGGTGAGTAAATCTATCTTTCTTTTCGTCTCCGAAGTCGTATTAACGCGACTTTCGGTAGCTTTCCTCCGAAAGATGGAGTACTTCAGCGGTCTGCTCTTCCTGACCACCAATCGCGTTGGTCATATAGACGAAGCTTTCATGTCTCGTGTTCACGTTGTGATTGGCTTCCCACAACTTGACGATATTAAACGCCGTGAGATATGGCAAGGTTTCCTCGACAAAATGAAAACCGAGACTGGAGGTAAAATCCGACTTACCACTTCAGCAAAAACGTACATCATGCAGAGTTGGGAGGATTTAAACATAAAACTGAATGGCCGAGAGATTCGGAATGCGCTGCAAACTGCTATTGCGTTGGCAGAGTTTGAGGCGAAAGAGGACTCGGATTACAGCGAGGATGAAGTAATAAAGGTTGAGAAGGATCATTTTGAAAGGGTTCTGTCGATGAGTCGCTCTTTCCGAACTTACCTCGATTCCATCAAAAGCGATACCGTGGAGAAACGAGCTCAAAATCTGTATGGACGAAATGATTATGACGAAGTTTCGGAAGACCACCTTGGGCGGTGAGTAGGGTTCTGTGGAGATACCCAGCAAGTAAAGGCCTTCTGATATTAGAGCATGAATTTCTATAAACAGTTGCACAAACATAGAATTTGAAAGATATAGAGCTATTTTATGGTCTTCTTATGGAGCCAATTCACTTCCATGGGCTGATTCATAGACAAGGTCATCCCATGAAACATAGACCTTTTTCTTTGGAAATCCTCTGTGATGGAACACTTCCCTGTTCTAAACCAGTCTCGTTGCTGAGGCTCCTGTCTTTGCTTCCGCTCAGTCAGTGACGTCCTATAAGACGCCCCATTTTCACCTAGCTAGCTAGGCATCATTATTTACGTATATCCTGACAGTGCCTTGTTAGCCATTTAATGATAATCCGCAATTTCCAAGGACCAGAACTTGTCTTTATAACGATCCCTCCTCAGGTGTGCTTATTATCAAGTGTCACGGGCTCCAGGCGCCATGAAGCGAACAAACAACGGACCCCACTTCTTTACATGTAAGACTTACCCGTACACACGAGCGCGGCTCTCACCACTTCAACCCTTGCAGAACGCACCTTTGAATTGACTAAAATCTGCCTTACAGTATTAATTCCATATCATGAGACAAAAGAGATCATACACCACATACACGAAGGCCTTCTTTTTCCACGAAGCAAGCCGACTCCACTCGGATTACTTTGAAAGGTCGGGCCCCCCTGCGAACTGGCAGATATACCTCCGTATACAAACTGAATATTAAACACACATAGAATACATGAACAGATTTTCGTTTCGGGAATGTTTAGAACCAATCGTGAAGCATAGATATGCACCCGTCCCACCTAACCTCGGGACCTGTTTTTTACTAGCGCTTGGGAAAGCGACATATCACATCTTTTAGGGACCGCCACTCGTTTTATACCATTCTGCGTGACCATCTTTCATTCGTTCAGGATAGACATATTAGTTAATAAAATAAATAAATTAGAGTGGATATATATCCCTTCCAGAGTACCGAGAATCGTCAAGGACAAAACAGGAGACTGTCAGAATAAGCTGTGTGAATAGTGGATAGATTAAAAGAAGCTAGCTAAAGCGGAAAGGAGTACTCTGATATAGGAGCTCTCCTGTACCATGAATCCTTCCTGAATGAGACTAGCGTCTTCCTGACAAGGCTAGCGCGGATCATATGGATCCGTATCGAAAGTACAGGGAGTCTCGCTAAGCAAGAGTCACATGCTAAACAACAAAGGGGGTAGACTCCGGCTCTAGCACGTTCCGTAACAATCTAGGCACAAAAAAGAACATGTACTCAAAGTGAATATAAGTGGATACGATAACATGGTTGAATTAAGGCTCAAAATCTGGGAAACGCTGCCTAATTAGTAAATTAACTTGTATTCTACGGCGAGGATTTTATAAAAGTAGATACTTCTACTCTAGTTTTTCCTACGCTTTAAGTACACGTTTTTTTATTTACATCTCGATACTCTAGAAGGGATATTAATCCTAAAACATATTAGTAGAACTAGTCTATTTACTTATTTAAGATAGACTTATATTATAACTAGGAATATGTCACAAATCACGTGCTAGCACGTGAGGAGTTAGTCCAGACGGGGTTCTGACAGGACAAACACATCATGGCTCTTATAGCAAAAAAGGGATCGCTTAGGTTAGTTTAGCGATCCAGGAATTTCTTTGTATACAAGTCACGTGATATATGCAGGTCGACTTCTCGCCTGGTCGAGAAGTCGATTATCGACTATGTCGACAGTCGACATTGTCAACTTCAGGAACACGAAGGTTCTATATAAGACTGGCACGTCTGCCATTAGATAGGAGCTTCGTGCTCAACTTAGTTATCAATCTTATCATATTCAAGTCACGTGATATATGCAGGTCGACTTCTCGCCTGGTCGAGAAGTCGATTATCGACTATGTCGACAGTCGACATTGTCAACTTCAGGAACACGAAGGTTCTATATAAGACTGGCACGTCTGCCATTAGATAGGAGCTTCGTGCTCAACTTAGTTATCAATCTTATCATATTAGTTTGACATCTTTGATACAAGTAACGAGTTCACTTCCAAGTGAACAACCCGATAGTCTTCTTCTTATCATAGCATACCAACCAGCGAACACCCAGCCAAGTTTAGTTAGCCAGTTTGAGTATTCGTTACAGAATATACGAATTAGAAATTATTGGTTTAGATTAGAACCTAGTATACCTATTTAGCTTAGATTAGTACGTGAAAAGAATTCGCTCTATTATAATAATAAGATTATTATCTTTCGCATTTTATATAGTTATTCTATTATAGTTCTCGGTTAATTCCTAGTTTTAGGTAAATCTACTTGAGTATTAGTGAAGAGTTCTACTTAACCTTATACTTTACTTATTTAGTATTCTAAAGGTTTTACTTACTTAAAGATATTCTATAAAAGCCTATCTTTACTATTAGCTACTTATATATAACTTACTTATATTCTTTATATTCTAATAGTATTTTATTTATCTTTGAAGACTCTTTATTTCTAAACTTCGAAATTAATAGATTAATTCTTTAGAGATTAACTTTCTATTTAAAGAGAGAAGCGAAAATAGTTTTTTATATAAGTCCCTTATTTACTTTCTCTTTTCTTGAAGAGCTAGAAGAATAACGTAATAAAAGTAGATTATTAAAACTATTTTATATAACGTGCATGTATAGCGAACCGGCCAAACAAGCGAACCGGCCAAAACCCGGCGACCCCACCACACCTCCACGAAATATTAAATTTCTCTACAACGAAGGATGCCTCTGAAAAATGACGAAAGCCGGTTAGTCTTAGCTATCCAAGCTATGCAAAAAGACCCAAATTTACGTGCTCGAGCTGCTGCCAGGACCTATTCTGTAGACCACCGGAAGCTAGGTCGACGTTTGCTTGGTATACCTTCACGACGCGATATTTTAGCCAATTCACGGAAAATGACCGAGCTAGAGGAATCAGTACTTGTTCAACATATCCTCGACCTAGCTACAAAAGGATTTCCTCCGCGGATATCTGTAGTTGAAGATATAGCAAATCGACTTCTTGAAGCACGCGACGCGCCACGCGTCGGGACGCGTTGGGCTTATAACTTTGTTAAGCGCCGCCCAGAACTCCAGACACGCTTCCAACGAAAATACGACTATCAGAGAGCTAAGTGCGAAGATCCAGAAGTCATTCGTGGCTGGTTTGAGCTTGTACGAAACACAATAGCGAAGTACGGAATCTACGATGCAGATATCTACAACTTTGACGAGACTGGGTTTATGATGGGCGTTATCTCAACTGCAATGGTTATTACAAGCTCAGAAGGACGTGTAAAAGCAAAAAGAGTACAGCCTGGTAATCGGGAATGGGTTACAGTAATCCAGGGGGTTAATGCCCAAGGCTGGTGTGTTCCACCGTTTGTGATTGTTGTCGCAAAAGATCACCTCGCTTCTTGGTACCAAAACAGTGGATTTCCACCTAACTGGGTGATTGCTATTACTGAAAATGGTTGGACAACAAATGAGAAAGGCATGGATTGGATTCGACATTTTGAGAAGCATACAAAGTCCCAATCTATTGGTGGTTATCGTCTATTAGTCCTCGACGGCCATGAAAGCCACCACTCCGACGAATTTGAGGAATATTGCAAGGAAAACAACATTATCACTCTTTGTATGCCTGCTCATTCTTCTCATATACTCCAGCCACTCGACGTTGGCTGTTTTAGCCCTTTGAAAAGGGCATATGGTCAGCAAATTGAAGATATGATGCGGGCTCAGATCATCCACATTACTAAGGATGATTTCTTTCCTGCCTTCCACGCCGCATTTAATATTGCAATGACAGAAAGCAATATCCGAGGAGGGTTCCGAGGGGCTGGGCTTCTTCCATTTGACCCAGAAAGTGTAATTTCTACACTTGATCTTAAGCTAAAGACGCCAACGCCTCCAAACTCCCCCCCGTATTCCGCTCAGCCTTGGGTTTCCCAGACACCAAATAACCCTACTGAAGCCTTATCACAGACTGCATTTATTAAAGATCGAATTTTACGCCACCAAGGTAGCTCTCCAACCCCTATTTACGAGGCCATTGACCAGTTTACGAAGGGTGCATCAAAAGTAATGCACCAGATAGTACTATTGAAAGCTGAGAACCAGAGACTTCGACAAGCAAATGAAGTACTAAGTAAGCGCCGTAGAGCTAAAAAAACACGCCTACAGCAAGGAGGATCACTTAGTCAACAGGAAGCGCAGGACCTACAGGATGATAGAGACGTTGGTGAGCAGGTAATGCAGGAAATAAAGAGAAGTAGTGGTCGGAAGCCGAGGGAAGAATCACGTGCACGGCGCTGTGGCAACTGCGGAGAGACTGGTCATAATACGCGCACCTGTAATATTATAGAGGAAGTATCTGAGGAAGAAATTTCTGAATAGTGTTTTTTAATTAGAGGCGTCGTGGTAGAGTTCTTACAATTTCAATCGCGAGTGTAGAAAATTTTGGCCGGTTCGCTTGTTTGGCCGGTTCGCTATACATGCACGTTAGGAAAGTTTTAAAATAAAAGAAGGGTAAGTTATAATATAAATAATCTAATTCTTGTGATTATTTAAAATAAGTAGAATAATAAAGAACTAGAAGGAACTTATTAAATAACGTAAGATATATTTAAGCTATAATATAGAAGTATAGTTTACTTAAGTAGAATCAGATATTACTCTTTTCTATTAAAGAGAGATTAACATTTATAAAGAGAGGTCTATTAAGTAAAGTAAGTTATATTAAAAATAATTTTATAGAAACGAGTTATATTAGTAGTGTATATTTCTTTCATTCTTTAAAATACTTAGATTTATAAAGAAATAAAATAGAACTTACGTTATTAATTAGAGTGGAATATTCTACTCCTTACTTATTACCTATTTAGGTAAAAGATAAACATTAGATATTCGTATTTCTATAAATCTTTTACCTAGGTATTACTATAACCTACTAGTACGATTAATTAAATAAAACATCCTATCTTCTCTATAAAAACATAATCACGATAAACAGCTTGTTACAAGGCATAGTACTTGTTTAATTACATATATTAACCGACCCGAGTCTTCGAAAATACATGCGTTCTATATAGGAAGGAATCACTAATTACTAACCGAATTCCCGAACAAATCATTATCATCCTCATCGACAATTCCTGCGAAAACCCCCAATTTATCATCCCTCGCAGCCTGTAACAAAGATTCCCTGATTCTCTTACTCCCAAACACCTTTGCAGTGATGTTAACATCATTCCTCGCCGGCAAAGCCTGGTCCAGGGCATAAACTGAATCCTTGAACGGGCTCAAATGTTCCAAGATTCTCTCAAATGTAGTCTCACTCCATTTCCGTCCATCTATGAGCTGATACTTCCCTTTGAGAGCTGTCAGCTCTCTCTGAGCTTGCAAATTATCTGGCAGAGAGGTTGGGTTGTACAGTGGCGGTAACAAAGTATAGTCCTCACTCTCTCCAAAGGTCATCCTTCCCGAAAACCTATCTGCCCCATACTCCTTAACGAGTCCTCTATGAAAGTTTTCTCTGACCAGGATCAGGTTTCTAAGAGACTCAAAACAACGCAGGAACATTAAAGTTTCGCCAATGTCTTCCGACTAGTAATTTTCTGGTACGTGAATAGCAACGTTGCGAAACTTCTTCCTTTGATCACTCATACTCAAAGTCAGTAGCGAGTTCACGTGGTTGATGTAGAGAGTGTCAACGTTATAATTGAAGTAGATCCGTCTTCTTTTCCACGTCGGTGAAATTGATTCGTACTTCTTCGTTGCGATATCGCGACACTCGTAACAAGCGTGAAAAAGGGCCGGAACAGGGTTGGCGCTTCTCATGTAAAGGTCTTTCCATCCACGTTTATCGGCCTCTTTCCAATTGATGTAGGGAAGTACGTTCCGTGGAACTGCGACAGCAAATTCCCAAATTAGAGTTCGCAATTCTGGAGGAAGATCCCTGAATTTATGGAATTCTGTTGGTGTAGCGGGGATGGCATTTGGTTCTTCCGTGGGAGTTGATGCTGCTGGAACGTCCATTGATGTATCTTCTGAAGGATGTACGATTGATATGGGCGATGAGGATGCAATTCGTGGGCGCTTGGTGCTTCCTCCCGCATCTTCGTTCTCGATTGTGTCCAATTTTCGCTTTGATTGAGAGCGTGATTTATGATTTGGCCGGAGACCAGACATTGACACGGGAGCTGGATGGCCATGCTCGTTGTCGGTTAAGGGGGTTTTCGCTGTATGAGAGGAGGTCTTTCGGCGTTTGGAAGGTCCTTCTTCAAGGTTATCGGCAATAACTCGCTCCCTCGTCTTTCTCTTTGCTGGCTGTGGGTGCAGTTGGGGTTTCTCTGCTTCGTTGATGGGCGTCGTTGTTTTGGTGTGAGCCAAAACCTCGCGTAGTGAATTTGTGGTCTTGGCACTCATCGCAACCGGGAAACTTCTGCTGTTGCTAGCCCCCCGATTTCTACCCAAAGCAGCAATATCAGGAGTGCGTGGAGCATGAATGGCGTAATATAATGAAGGTATGGTTGCCGCGGCTTGTTCTCGCTTCTTTCTCATTCTTAGAATCGCCGGAGATGGCTTGGACGACGCGGTGAAGCGAGGACGGTCCGGATCGCGCTTCTTCGCGACTTGCTTTGGAGGCTCAATTGCAGTTGCAGTCGGTAGGAAGGAGTTCATGGGAACGAGGTCTGCGGGTGGGACTGTTATATCTGTGGTGCGTAATTTCCGTTGCGACATGGCGACGGAGGACTGGGTGTGTGGTGTTTTTGTAGATGGAGCTCGCGACTTATTCTTCAAAGCGTTCGATATAGGTCTTTGGCTTGTGGAATGTGCGAGGGACTTGGCTGCTCGATTTTGTTGAGTGGAAGAAGGTTGCAGTGCTGTGGTGGGTTGCACGTTCGAGGGTTGAAGAGGGGTAGCTGTCGAGGTGGTTGAGGTTTTTTGGCGCTTAGTATTGTCGTCGGACTTGGAGTGCCATTGTGTACCGAAAATACCAGCCTCCCCAGCCTTTCTTTTTTGTGCGCCGCCTCGTCTCGTCGGGCTCGGTTGAGGGGTTGCCCGTGTATTGTCCGGGCGGTTGTTCATGATGAAATGGTTGACTGGAATGATGGAGTTGGAGGTAAAGCAGGTTGACCAAGCGAATATGTCCAGCTTGATGGAAGGGTTTGCGTATTCTTTATACGTCTATTGCAATGTGGATTGATATTTCGTGAGTGTATCCAGTAGTGTACAGTACGTGGACGATATGTTGAAGGTCGTGGTTGATGTCAGTTGATGAGAACTGTGCGACGAAGATTTGGTTAGAGGAAGAGTTTGGTCCGCGCTCGAGTTAGATTTAAGGACCCGTCGGCATATTCTCGGACGAGAAAGCTGTAACTACGCAAGTTGGCAGTGAATTGATGTTCTGGAGTAATGTGATTGAAGGCTGGGATACATGAGCGAATACAAAAGGAGAGTGAATATTGCATACAAACTATAACCTCGCCTTATTTTAATCAATCAATCATAATAGAACAACTTATTGTTCATCTACATGTATACTTACAAATATGAACCTACTATTTATTACATAGGGTTAGTCATTTATTGAAGTCTTGGAAAAGCTTAACAACTCAAGGAGGAAGTAATATTACTATTATTCTACACAGAATCCTATGTATTATTTACACTCCATTTCCCAAGACTGTATAACAAACCACGTTCCTCAGACTTTCTCTTCTATTTTACATTTCTATACTGCCAGGGTATTACTAGGAGCATACAAGAACAGTTCCAGAATCCAGTTAAAAATAATCGCAACGTGTAAAAGAGATCTAAAGGCTAGCTAATATTGATACTTAACGAGAGTCTATACCATTCCTGATTAGCAGCGTATAAAATGAGTAGAGTAGAGTAGAGTAGAGTAGAGTAGAGTAGAGTAGAGTAGAGTAGTAGCACCTACTCTACTCTACTCAAGGGTTTAAAAGCCCTACTCAACTCAACTTAAGTACTTAGCGCCAAGTACTTAAGTTACTTAAGTAGTACTTAAGTATTTCGGGGTTTTGCCGGGCCGAGTCGCCGTAGCACGCTAGCACCCCCGGGTATATCGCCGATCGCTAGTAATCGGTACGCCTACTCGGAATTAGCCAAGTCAAGCGCTCCTAGGGAACGATTATTTAGTAAGGGAGCTAATATTATATTTAATAATAGGAAGAAGATCTTAAAGGAGACTTTTCTAAATAAGGAGGATAAGCAGGTTAAAAGGGAACCGTCCTTCAAAATTAATTATTTTGTACTTTAGTCACGTTTTTACTATAATTACCTGCTTAAGTACTACTTGAGTACTACTCTACCTACTCCAGTACTACTTGATAACTACTCAACTCAACTCTACTTAAGTAGTACTCAAGTAGTACTTCATTAGTTGATTAGTTTGTTCATACGCTGCTGATTAGACAACTCCTACTCCACGCTACATCCACTAAGCGAGGCACCACTATCACCAACCCTTATCAACTGATCGGAACCCTCACATATACCATCTAAACTATACCACAATCTACAAAAGCAACATTCATTATACCAACAAGAAAACAAATCAAGGCTTAGATCTCTTGATCCCTTCCAGAGCATGGAGCTCTAGGTATACTCTGATACTTATACACCTGAAGTGGATACCGAGTGTCCACTTCTATAACATCTTCCCTATAAAACAAAGCAGTCTAGCCAAGCAGGCCATATCTCTAACATTTCGAGCTCTCAACTCTACTGTCTACCACTAGCATATTCCCCGAAAGGCGCTATTCCCCATTCCAGACACTCCCAGGCCAACAGACAGATCCTACATTAGAGCCCTGCTCGCCCCTTAGCTAGCTTCTCTGTATTCCAGCTTTCCATTCCACATTGTGTCCTCGTCTTCTGACAGAGGCCTTGATTGGGGATTCGCAAAAGTCAGGACAATAGTCATGAACGCATGTGGGCAGGACGACAATAGATGTCACTAAAGGATATCCGAAGACTTTAAGTATCTGGAAACCCGTGATAATTGGCAGAATCCTTTTTCTCCTGAGTGCCCTCCGTAAAGTAGCTCAAAAAGCTTCATTGATGGCGCTATATCCTTCCCACCTTTCTCATTCAGACAATGCACACCGCACTTTGTTCGTGAAGGAAGTCTATATGTCTAGTGCTTTTCGTATTATTATCGTATCGATTAAGTAGAAGTAGAAGTAGTTACCTACTTAACATTCTACGTAATAGTTCTCTCTACTTATACTTGATATTACATCGTATATTCGTAATCTGACAAAGAAAAATACAAATCCCTCGAAGAACCTAAGGATTTTAGATATTTATCGCAGGAATAAAATACTACCCGGTAGTATTGTTAGTTTATTATACAGTACTGCTTCACGTTGCTAAGCGAGATGTCTCCTCCCTACTACCCACTAGAGGTAGGTAAGCAATCGGAGACAAAAAAGCATCGGTGGAGAGGGTATATATCGTCTGATACAACCACAGATTCACAAGAAAAAGGAAGACCCACGAGTCGCTGTGGAGAAAATGCTTGACAATCATATAAACTACAAACGCTACATGGTATCCCATCAACGACATTTCCAAGCATAATTTTGAATCTCCTAGATTATCGCAACGTCATAAAGTCATAAGTCATTACAATTCATCATCTGATTCTGTATCCGAGCCATCAACCACAGGTTTCGTCGACGGTTTAGCGACCGGCTTGGCAGCACCAGGTTTCCTCTGAAAAGGAAGTTCTCTCTTGGGCGGGAGAACGAAATCTTCGGGTGGGGCAATGGCTGGGGTGGATTCTTTGGAGATTCTGTCTTGGTTGATTGTTCTACTTGATAGTGGAGGCGGGCCATCACCATCCGAGGCTTCTGATGCTGTTGAAGGTTCTGGTGTCTGCCTATCCTCCATATCAGAATCTTTCGCGGAATTAGCTTCATCGACTTCCATCTTCTCAAATCCATCATCTGAATCACTTTCGACCACTACTTCCTTTACTTTGCGTTTTCTTGCTCGTGAGGGGCCAGTTGAATGTGATCGGCTGTTTCTTCGTGGTGCCTCTACTTCTTCCAGTCGTACTGGGTCGATGGTGGAACCTGCTAATAGATGTTGCTGGTCTCTGATCTTGAGTTTCTTCTCATTCAGCAATAGAGAGAATTTCTCCAAAAGGGCATTGTCATGCTGCTCCTTGAGGGTTACAAGCTCGGCTAGACTCTCTTCGAGTTTCTTCATTTGGGCATCTTTTTCACCTAGACTGGCGTGAAGAGCATGCAGCTCACGACTCGATTGGTCCCTGGAGGTGACGACGGTACCACACCAATCGAACAGTGATATTTCCACGCTTTCGGGATCCTTTGCCTTCATCGGGATCTGTCCAAGTTTTTGCTAAGAATGGAGTCAGTATGTGATATTGAAACGTCTAATTAGCGGGGGTCGTGTGATGACTTACGGTAATCCCTTCGACGCGGCGTTGGATTGTGATCGTGAGTGACTTGGCTTTCTTTTCCACCTTGGCGGAGAGTTCCACATCCGTCCTCACGGCCTCGTTTGCGGGCGTGACTTCACGTAGGACGGACAGGAGAATATCCTCCCATTCATCTTGTGTACAACTGTCCAGTTTTAGGGCTGATATATCCGAGTGCTTTACTAGATGCAAGGGAGATTAGTTGCTGTGTTACGCATGAGATATATTGAGGGCGGGGGATGAGGCCAAGGAGTGGCCCTTCCGGACGATCATTTGGGGATCCTTACATTCAACGACGAACACATGCTCCTCTTCGGTCCCAATCAACTTGAGGTCGAGCTTACGACGACCGGTCGAAGAGACATGGAGAAGGACAAACTCGGCGTCTTGGTGGGTGTGATCCGGATGGGGAATGCGGAGGACGGTGGTGAAGACTGGGACTGGATCCGGATCCATGGTTGATATACCACCACACACGACACCATCCCACGCTGTGCGGTGCTTTGGTGTGATGTGCTGTGACGCTGTCAGGAAATTTATGAAACACGATCACAAGAAGTGGTTGATTTAAGATTTCATGGCCCTTGATGCGAGAGTGATGCGAGGGGAATTGAGTACAGTAGTTTTGGCTGAGGGACGGTAAGGTGTGTGCAGTGCCGTGGTGTTAATATATCATTTCGGATTTAGGCAGCAAGGGCGCAAGATGATTGGATGGCGCGAAACAAACGCGGCAAGGCGCGTGGTGAAGAGGGAAAGCGGCACTGATGCCTTGATACCTCTGGACTCACCTTCCTCGACACAAACAGGTCGAAAGAATTGGGATGAACACAAGCATGATTGAGTGCTATGCTGCGTATAGGCCTCTGCATACAAGAGACGATCAACACGATGGTCGTAACCTTAGGGCGAAGGTTGAGCCCTAACTGTAAAACAATTGTATGATCATAAAACAATTATATGATCATAAAACAATGATAATGATCAGATGAACTCGAGCTTCAAGCTGCCAAACGATGAGATAAGACGGACTGACTGAAGTCCAAGTTTTCTTCACTGGATGCCGCTTTCCTTCCAATTCGAAGTCCAGGGTATCCACGTGACACAAACCTCATCTTGGGCCATGGGCCTGTGCTGATACTTTGATACCTGGTACTGTAGTGGCCTCCAGGCCCAGGCTACAAAGCCTTAATTCAGGCACAGACGCTCGGCTGCAGCTGCACCTGCAGATGCCCCCCCAGCGTCGCCTTGCCAGCCTCGATGGGGTCTTTCCAGGGCCCTCCACTCGCCAATTTGAGCATGCAAATCCTGTCTTTGGCCCCAACGCCCGACCCCCCAACCTCTTCTGAATCTGACCAGCCAACCCGCACCCACCACTACGATCATTACATTCCAGCCACCGTATGGAGACAGAGGAGACGATACGATACCACGACCACTACACTGCAAAAAGTTGACCAAGAACATTTCCACGCACATACGACTCCGTACCAAGCAGCAATACACACTTAGGGCTAAGGCACACTGAGACTGCCTAGGGAAGACGATCCAAACAGCCAAACAGACACCAAACAATCATCGCAGGGAACGAAGGAAGGAGGGACGCGACCACTAGCGTTGAGGGAGAGGGAAAAACACCGTACAGTACCGTGGACAACACCACACGCCAGCAAACGACACTGATCCAGCACAGCACACCAAACTTGCTCCTGCTGCTCTGCTCTGCTCCACCAACATACAGAACACCGCACTACGCACTGCACACAATATACTACACGTCCCCGGTCCCATCGTACCATTGGGTGGTGACAAGTCAGAAAAGACGCAAATTCAATACTTGCGACCTTCCACATCCTCGGTATCGTCTGGTCACCATGAGCTACGGCGACTGCTACTTGCGACGTTGAACAGCGCGGCCACAGCCATCAATGTGACTCGACCGACGGGCCCTTCCCCATCTGCCGGATCTCGCATTCACCTCGGAGGCTATCAGCTGGACTCTGGACTCCCCCAGAATTGACTGACTGCAGTGGCGCACAGAATCGCACAGCACCATGGACCAATTGACCTTAAAAACGCGCAAGGAGGTCGTCGAGGCCCCCATCGAGAGCTGGGACGACGATGACTTGGACATTGGCGGAGACGATTTCACCTTTCGCAGCGCGTCGTTGACGACCACGACCACCTCGCATTCCCACCACCGAGAATCTCTCTCGTCCTCGCGCATGTCCATCCGATCCGACTTCGACTCCAACCCAGGCGACGAGGACAAGCAGGTCCATCTCCCGGGAGACGATGAACGATCAACCATCGACGCAATTGCGACCGCGAAACAAGCCGGCATCCCCATTCCTCAGAACGTGCCCTCTTCCGCGCTCTTGGGGGGTACCATCAAAAGGTTGGGTGGCCGGAAGATCAAGAAAATGATACAGGACGATTGGGACGACGGCGATTTGGAACTTCCGGGAGAGGGCGGCTTCCAAATCAAGCAACAAGACGCCTCCAAATTCCCGGACGCTTTGCGACAAGTCAGTGGGGGTGAATCCTCGACACAATCCAGCCCGGCAAAGTCACTTCAACCAGCTCCAATGTTCAATCTCAATTCTCCCCCCAATCTCAAACCACAAATGGCATCCATGGATCTTCTCGACCAATTTCGGGACCAAGACAATGAGGATGATTTCTTTGGAAACAGTGGTGACACAATTAAAGTCGCTAAGAGCCGACCAGGTGCCAAATTATTGCCTCTCGTCACTCCACCCACACCTCAGCAGGATGACAAAATCGCGGAGAGTCGTGAGGAGTTTGAGCACGACTTTCACTTCCCGACCAACAGCCCTCTGAAGCTTTCCGCACGACAAGATATTCCCAAGACACCGGCTACGACACGTGATGATTTTGATGAATGGGGCGAGGGTAGCCTTGGGACAAGGTTTGGAGGGACTAAGCGCGATGGCCGCTCAAATCGAAGTTCGTCCTCTGCCCTAAGTCCAAGCGTGGCAAGCTCTCTCACCGTGGAGAGCGAGGATGAGGGACTGGACGGGCTGGTGCTTCCGAATGGCCCAATTCCCTTTGATGATATTCTCAAGAGAAGACAGCAAGATCGTTCACCGGATCATCAAAGCCCTGAGAAGCAAGCCGCTAAGCGTGTGGAAATGAAGGAAGATTTTCTTTCGGGTCTTGAGGTTGGTGATGGAGATGTATTTGCTTCGAGCAAACTTACCCATAATCGGAATGTCAAGATGAAAACCACTCGACAAACAAGCCCATCTCGACCCAAAACCGCTGTTTCATTGACCTTTACAAACAAAGCTTCAAGCTCTACTACTACATCACGACTTCCTCGTCCTCATGGTCCCCTCGAACCCGTCTCGGAGAGTGGAGGGCCTATTGCAAATCGTAATCGTCGTTCTCAATCCAGACTTGGAGGCCATTCGAATCATTCTTCAATTAGCAGTATTCATACACCAACCACACCCTCACATCCTCCTTTCCCGCCCTCAACGCCACGTAGACGGGACCTGGGTCTTAAACAGTCCAATCCTACCCTTCGGAACGAGCCAACAACGACCCATGCTCAACTATTGAAGCTCAAGCGGTCGATGCCATCCATGCGATCGCCAGCAAAGCCAACCGGACGATTTGAAAGACCACCATCTCGCACGGATGGCAGCACTAGAACTCAGTACATGTCTCGGCCCAAAACCCCGGTTGACCGCGACCGTTCAGGAGCTGAATCGAGTATGTCCCAAGCTCGAAGGAAGCCTGCACCATTTCTACCTGCCGGTGCTTCGAGTAGGCAGTCACAACATGTTGCCGCCAAAACTTCTCGTCATTTCCGTCGAAACGATTCGGAATCGTCGAGCAACAGTACGGATTTTCGGCCAACGTCGCGAGCAGTTTCTAGGTCCACGATGAGGTCACCAAGTCCACGGAGAAATCCTCGCGGACCTGAAGCATTAGCTCGCGATGCCGCGGCGAAGCGACAAATCACAAAACCGGTTCGTCGCAGGCACTTTGGTGACGGCTGTGAACTCGATGGCTTTGATGATCTGCCTACCACTCGCGATGTGGAACAGAAGTTTGTCAAGGAGCCGATTGGTCGAGGCCCACCAAAGCTCTCCAACTTGAGGCAAAAGCTTCAAGAAGCTCCTGCTCTCCTGAGAACAAGTACACCTGCTCCATTTTCACCTGCAAGACCACGAGATGAATTGCCTAGATTCGCGCGTGATACCAATGCCAGTCGAATGGCAAGGGAGCATAATATTGCACATCGTGCTCCTTCCGGAGCTCCACTGGCGACTTTGACTAATCAATGGAAAGCCAAAGTTTCTGCGACCACAGGTTTGAGTACTGCAACAGCGCATTCGGTGAGGACCAAGAAGCCCAAGGGGCCACCACAGAAACCTCAACTAATCAAGCCGCTTGGGAATCTCAATAACGCCAAATGTAAGCACTTTGACGCATACTTCACTCTCTTACTAATGCAGTCTTAGCCGTGAAAGGAATGTATTATAACCCATATACTTTTAAATGGGAAGGAAACGAGAATGACCTTTCTCCCTTTGATGCGCCTGCCTCTCCCATAAATTCAATGAATTCCAACGCTTTCAAAGAGTCGCCAAGCGCTTACCGGGAAAGGGAGAATACCACCCCTCGACCAGCACTTATCCAAAATGTCAACTCGAGTCAAAACGTTCAGGTCGTTGGGGGTATGGTGTTTGATCCCGTGCGAATGTGTTGGCTTAAGATGCCTCAAAAAGGAGACAATAAAAGTGACGCGGGAGATACCATGGATGGTTTTGATGCGTTGGACGACGAAGAAGATGTCTTCCAAGATGTCCCTGACTTGGAAGATTCCCCGTCCAAAGAATCGGCCACCCCAGGCGGCCGCAAAAGCGAAGGGCTCAGCAGCCTCAAAGACGACTGGCTGGTTGGCGAGGAATTTGACGTAGGACCCGAATTTGTCCGACGACAGCGTGAAGAAGAAGAGCGTTGGAGGAGAAAGTGTGAGCAGTGGGTAGGGAACGACCTCAACCGAGGCGGTGACCTCTGGAGGTGGAGTATTAGAGATGTGGTTAATGAGCAGTGATGACAAGTCGAATCACTTACGCCACTGATGAAAGAGGGGTACCCAGTATATTTTCCCCCACGTCCCTTTGGGGATCAGAAAAGAGAAACACTGTACAGCATTGCATGCAAATATCGATTTTTTCATTTGTCACCTTCTTCGTTCTAGGGGGCGCAAGCGCCAAAGGGTTTTCATGGCGTTCCAACTTTTTGTATGGACATAAAAGGGGGATTCTGAACGACTTCTTCTTTCCAATGCTTTGGCTTTGGCTCTTTTTGCATTCGCCCATTTTGGGGCTCCTTTTCCTTTTGTTGAAATGATGATGATGGATCGGGCTTGGGACTGGACTCGGGTTGGGACATTTTTGGTGATGAGGTAGGATGGATTGGGATGGAACTGGATGGGATGGGATGGCATGGAATGGAATGGGGGGAATGGACGAGATGATGACACAAAACACACAGACATACTTTCTTTTTGATATCCCTTTTGTTTACTTATATGGGGGATGAGCGGATGGGCGGGGTATGTGGGGAGGGTGGGAGGACAGTGGCGGTGCCTTCACAGCGTGGTGGATTAAAGGAAGCATGTATTTTAGACACGGGGAGGGGGCGGTTAGAATTAGGGTGAGTGAATGATTATATGAACTCTCTTCTTTTTATTATGTGGTTGTGTTCTTTGTCCTGTATAATATAATGTAGTAATAGGATAAAATACACATCTCTTCCTTGTTTGAAATTGTACTAGGGAGACGAGGTGTGGTAAGTGAGAGTTATACTTTGGGGGCGTAGATTTTTAGGCCGGAGTCCCGACGGTTATAAATGGGAGAGGTCGTATAAGATTACTAACACGAAATCTCATTTTGGGAGAAGGTCTGATTCAGACTTGGGCACCTATATATCGATGTCGTATTCGGGGGGGGAGGGGTAGGGGGGTACTCGATATATATCGTATCGGAAATATATTAACGATACGATATCGCTAAGAATCCGATAATCGATACAATATCGATTATCGGTATACGTGACGTGGAAAATCTATAAATCCGGTCCCGAACTAATAAGAACTCGGGAGTACGTCCTTCGTAGATGTGACGATACGTACGATGTGTTGCTCAAGGAGCGTCCAAGGTGTAGGTTATGGAATCGTAGAACTGTCTATTCGAAGATTCTAAGCTGAGGAGAAGAGGAGAGCTCGAGAGAGCTTGAGTCTAAATACAATGTGGTTCGCTAAGGAATCCACGTGATATGAATGGCACGTGCCGGTCAGAACCGTCACAGTAGATCTTAGACCTACTATGATAAGAAGAAGACTATCGGGTTGTTCACTTGGAAGTGAACTCGTTACTTGTATCAAAGATGTCAAACTAATATGATAAGATTGATAACTAAGTTGAGCACGAAGCTCCTATCTAATGGCAGACGTGCCAGTCTTATATAGAACCTTCGTTCTCCAAATCCTGAATGTCGACAGCGCGCTCGTCGTGCTGTCGCGCGTCACGTGACTATGAATGCTATGAAATCCTTGGATACTCAACAACCCTGAGTAACCACTGCTATGGTATAACTACTCTGGATGTATCTGTCCTGTCAGAACGCCGTCTGGACTAACTCGTAACATGCTAACACGTGATTCGTGACATTTATTCTTAGTCGCTTTAATTCGAGATTTTTTATTACTTATTACAATGCAACTAAAGAGACCCTCCTGGCTAAAATAAATAAAAACAAAAATGAGGTAAGCCCAGTCGCCGATCACCATGTGGCGGTGGTGTTATATTTAGTCGACTAATGTGGACCAAAGTCCCTTGGTACCTTGGCGGCAAGATCCCACATCCAGACAACGCCTCCCATGTTTCTATTTACGCTCTATAAAATAACCTTAACTCCAATCGCCACCTAGAACATGTTCGTCCATCGTCCTCCCTCGTATCCCACTTGCCATTGACACCCGCTCTCTTCTAATTGTTTGGTCTGCCACCCTTGACTCGAGAGTTGCCCCTTCAATTGGAGAGGTGTATTTAGTCGCCTTTGGAAATTGATCCTTAGAGCTTCTTGAACCCGAGATTTTTCTTGTTCGGTATGGAGGCCTCTCGAGCATAGACCTTTTGTTTGCCGCGGTCCTTGCGTGAGGTTTGCGAAAGAGGAACGTCTTCATTCCACGCGAACGCTTAGTTCTTCCTTGGAGGTGGTCCGAATGCTGCAGCCCGCGAGGAGGGGTCGGGTATTTTGAATTTCTGGCTCTCCAGTGCCTCTCTCTCCAGTGCCTCTCTCTCCATGTCTTTTTGTCTCATCCGTTCGCGCATCATATCGGCATATACTTCATCGGGATGCTTCTTGTCAGGGCCGTAGGGGGAGATGTATACGATTAACTTTTTCGCTGCAGTAGTTGGACCCGGTCTCGCCCTTTTTGAGAGGTCAAGGTTCTTTTTTGGATCGATTCCTTTTGAGAGGGTTTGTTGGCTTAGTTCATGATTTGCTGGGATAGGAATTCCAGCAACCAAGGCGGAAAGAATGGCGGCAGCTGTGAAGACGTTGGGTATCAACATGATTCGTTCGAACGTTGGTGAGATAGAGCACGTGGGTTGATGGAAACTGAATAACAGCTGTGATGTGAACTGAACAAGAGCTGTCTTATGAAATGAAGCGTATCAATTGTAATGGAAATAAAATAAGGCAAAGAAAAAGACAAAAATGGAAACGACTGTGGTGAAGAGATGGAGACGCAAGTTATGAACACCGGCTTAAGCTGAGAGAACCTCTCTCTTATATATGGTGAGTTACTCAAATTTTGCATTGATTAGCAGATAGCCATACCCAAAAGTAGACTGCTCGCATTGAAGTAGATGGCAAATTTAGAAAGTTGTAAGACTCTTGACTATTATAACAAAATAATGATGCTTCCTCATTCGTTAACACGCCCCTCCTTGGATTTCATCTTTACTTTTCGGATCTACCGACTTGACGTTGCACGAAGCAACGAGGGGTTCTATTTAAAGCTTTACGATGGCCGTACTCGTATCCAAAAGGTATCGGTATCGGATCTAGGCTTTCGGGAGTTTTGTCCAGCCAAGACATGACGATACCAAGATAAAGGGTCTGGACAGCTCGGGTCCCCCTCCTTGTATACGAGTTGTTATAGGCAGGGTATAACTCCACAATATAGCCCTCTAAGCCAATTGAATTGTCCGATTCATGTGGAGGTATATCGGTTAGGGTTAGGGTTAGGGTTATGTGTATTGTAAAATGATAGTTCGAGAGGTTCGTGGATGATGAGCACGCACAAGGTATTCCTAGAATGCTTCGCCGGTATGGGCGAAGACAAACTTTCGCCGTTGGTGGCTCATCAGGGAAATGATGGGTTTGTGTGTTTATGTACACCCGTTGGGTCGGGTGTCTCCGCACTTCCATTGCCAGAAGTGGGAGGCACCTTTCTTAATAGGATGTATATGTGCCAGAAGGCGCCTTGGCGGTGAAAATTTTCACTGTCAAGAGAGGGGAAAGTCCCTGCAAGAAGCGCTATTCCCTAAACTCGCGGTTGGTTTCTCCGAGGATAGCCGACTACCGAGGTACACAGTTCCGGTAGCAATCACGTGTTATACAATTCGTTTTCGCTCCAGGCCTGCATACTCCGTTTTTGCCAGTTCCCAAACAATAACGTTTCTACCAGGACGGGGGGTTAGGGTTAGGGTTAGGGTTAGGGTTAGGGTTAGGGTTAGGGTTAGGGTTAGGGTTAGGGTTAGGGTTAGGGTTAGG